TATCCCAAGAATGGTGAGCTAAGTATTGATTTACTCCAACATTAATACCAGCCATAACCCCATCCAGGACCAGCTGACGTATCCCTACTGGTAAACATACATTGAGGAGCCTCGAACTATTATGAACAAGGTCTGCTTATAAAAAAACTACTGCTGCTGGGGTTAAAGCTCGTCATAATTGAAAACACGCAACATTAAGTGCAATAACAGCTATTAATTAAGTTTTTTTTTGTATTGAGTCCACCGCTTGGCGTCCGGCCTGTTTTTCATCAATTCAAGCAAATATTACCGGAATGACGTCACGTCAGACCATACAATGGGCATGCACTCAAGCAGACGATCGGTTCAAAACATGTTTTTTCATTTGCTTGTTATGAGGACCAAAATATTTTTGTAGGCAGGATGTTCATACAATCCCACAAGTACATCTTACAAAGTTGTCTTCTTCTATTAAGAGCATTTTCTCTGTTATTCTCTTGTTTTTCCAGTTGTCTGTTAGCGTTATTAAAAAGCACTACAGTTCGGCGTGTATTTGTAAGCAAAATTCCGGTGTGAAGAATCTGAACACCCGTGTAACAGAGACTCCGCCCTTCATTAGATTCGTACAGGCTAGGTTTGTGTGACGTCACTGGGTCAAAATCTAGGACGCTTTTTACCTGTACAAATGTGAACCGGACCCCATGCCACAGGGGACCTCGTACAAAGTCTAACTCCGCGCAGGCGTTATACATCTACTAATAACTGTATGTGAGCGGGTAGAAAAATCGGAATACTGAAATGTTACCTGACAGATAAAGGTAGAGGGCATATAATAAAATATCGTAATTAAATCCTTGTAAAGCATGTAAAACGTAAAAGATTATAATCAAAATGTCTTTATCTTGTCTTGCTTCCAGGTGCCATTGTGTCGTTTATTTTATTAAAACCATTGAATGCAATGCACATGTAATATGAAGATTCAGGAAACCTTTTTTCTCATAACATTGAGCTTTTTTTTTCAATGTAGCCATAAAAAGTTTTAATAATTGTAAATACGTCAATAAGCTTACGTTTTTCTGTTCTGAAGGAGGTTTGCAAACCGATCAGCGACTAGAGTCATCTTCAGAAATCGGCCTTCAGCCGTGTAAATTTAAGATGGAGGGGGGAAAGTGAGCAACCTACAGAAGGGATATTTTACGTACACCGAGTTAACGGCATGCCAGCGGAGGTTTTTATCCTTAGATAAGAGTGGCAGCCAGTAGTTTAACTTCTGGGATAAGGCTACTCGTAAAAGAAAACAGGAGCATCATTGTACAAATATAAATCTCGTTCATAGCAACTCCTAGTTTGTGTTTACACGAGCAAACATCTGGGGAGCCAACCAATGGGAAAAGTGGTTATTTGGCCTCGCTTGGGGACCGTCTACCCTCTACCAGGGTGGCAGATTATTTAGGAAAAAAATGGGAAAATCCGGAGATAGTAAAATGACCGTCTATTTATCTAAAGACATATCTGTGAATATCCTGTGAAGTCATTCTGTGGCCCTAGTAGAGGGTAGGGACCGCCATAGATTATACATAATGAGGTGATTGATCTGTCAGTTAAGAAGGTGGGTTAATGAAAAAGTTTCCGAGACCTAATCAAGTCCAGGTGGACGTGCAATCGGGGAAACTTGGAACCGGTAATATTTCGTTGATTACACTTTGATTACATGTTGATTGCATGTTGATTAAAGTTTTCCAGATATGAAGGGCAGATATGAAGGTCTCACGCATTTTTCACGTGCACATTTCACACTCCACTTAGGTTGAAAACATCTCTCCGACATCTACCCACGACCTGTTCTTCTCTTTGAATATCAGTTAGGGTCTCCAGTGACTGACAGGTATATTGAAACCACGGCAATAAAGATTTTATGACGCTCATTTTCAATCCACTTTTCAATTTCCATTTTGATTATTAATATTCTAGCACCTGTTCGCCACTATATAACCGAGACAATACATGTACCGGTACAGTATTTCATTTTACATACCGGTAAGCATTATCGTGGATTAGGTTTTACAATGGCGATGCCAACGTATATAAAGTCCTACCAGTATGAAATGAACAAAATGAAATGCGCATGTTACAATATCGGTAAAAGCCGCGAGACCGATATATGAGTTAAGATACAGATGTGTACCTGGCGTGAATACGGGATTGTCAAATGTGGTATTGTTCTAGACATTCTGGTAATATCCAGTCTTCTCCTTCTTTTCCTTTTTTTTTTTTTTTTTTGATGCAGTCATCATTATCTTTTATGCGTGTATGTAATGTTTACCTTACAGAAATGCATATAATTGCAGCACTAGTACATCAAAGTCAGAGGCATCCGTTTAATGAACTCCGTTCATCAGCGATGTGAACTATTTACGTTCTTCTGCTGAACATCGACCAGCTGTTTGTGTGACAAACGAAAAAAAAGTTCTGTTTTGTGTATTTTAGAATCCCAATGGAGAACTGATTTTTTTTTCATATTCAAGATCGACAAATCCGTTAGAGAGATAGAGGGAATGATCCTTAGGATATGATGTCGCAGAGCATTCACCTCTCCCAATAGGACAACTTCAATATGATTTAGAATGAGCTTTCTCTGTTACAGATGAATTTTTCATCACAAAACCATGAATGAGATCAAAGAACACACTAAACAACTGTAAAACCAAACAACGCATTTTCAATCCACTACAAATGGAAATATTATCTTCACGAAAAAAAGAAGATACACGAAAACCAATAAGCAGCATCAATCATTTGGTATACAGCCAAGAGAGTGTTGGGATGAAAGTTAATATGTGGCGTCGAGATAATTGCAGAGTATTGCAATTGCCCGCATTCAGAATTGTCACTTTAACTATACTCTGTGTCATCAGTGTGTATTTATAAACAAGTTGAACTCCGCATCATTTGATCAGCTGGGAGTTTCCGCCATGTACAGTTTGTCTAGTAAACACGCTACGTGTATTTAAAAGCAACCAAACAGTTTGACGACACTGTTCTTAAACGAACAGGTCTGCAACTCTCACGATTTTTCAGTTAAAACAAATAACATCCGATTCCCCACTTGCCGAAGGATATGTATTTATGACTGACGCAACATTACAAACCTGCCATCAGATTTTTGTGCTCAGAGTGCCTCTCGATGCCAAGTTGTATTCTGACCAGTTGCTCAAATTAAACCGTGTCGGTTTAAATAGCGCGATGACCTTTCGTCAAATGACATGAGCACTCGTCAATGTATACGGCATAGTGTAAACTTAGGCGGTCTTATACGAAAATGGAACCCAACATAGTATTAATTGAATGATGGCATTGAAATGACTGAGGGCAAATGGCCAATAAATAACATCGCTGCAGAATAAGCCAAAAGGTTACATGTTGAAGATAAAAACAGATTTATGAAAAGAGAGAGAGAGAGAAGAGAGAGAGAAAATAGTTCTGTGGTCTCTGACTGACCGGTGCACTACACCCATATGGTCGCTCGATCATATTGTGGATGAAGGAGATCGCTGTTACCATCCCAGCACAAAAGAGAGTTAAGAACGAGCAATAAATACAAGTTGATGTGCACTAAACAACAAACAGACAAGAACATAATGGTTTTCCCAGTATATTTGGTTCCTCTCTCCTCTGATGATATCTTCTTGAACGTTGCTTGATTAGATTCCCAAGATCTCCGATGGAGACATAAATCTTAAGACAGGGGATTCTAATGTGAGACCAGTAGGTCAATACTGACAGGTTTCAACGTGTGTTCTCTTTTTCATTAGCAGACTTATATTTGCATCATCAATCCAATGATTTGTCATTTATATTTCCTTTGCGAGAATAGCACATGCAAGTACAATGAAGTTTGAGACAATCTTATCAGAAGACGAATGGGGTTTCGTGTTGCATAACATATTAATTCTGTGACATTTCTGCTAGACCCTCTCTTTCTTTTTCTCCCCATAGTAATTTTGAGACTGTTTGCCTAGCAATTTGCCTGTGTCTTTCTATTTTTCTATCTATCTTTTCGCTTTTCTGTTTGTTTGTCTGTCTGTCTTTCTACCTGTCAACAATAAATATGAAAAACAAATGATTCATCCAGAATCTTGAACGAAGTGTTGCGCAAAGCATCAACATCAGGCCAAAAATAGTATAACTGCAAACCAAAAAAAGCAATTATTCGATATTCTAAAGTCCCTTAAATATTTCATTAAAATCCCTTAGTAAAATGAGAACATCAGTCAAACACCATCAATTAATGGGCATTCGTTATATTGTAGAACTCATTTTTCATCCAGAGTTATTACTTTCATTTCTCCACAAAACCATAAATCCAACACTCTTCGCGGACAGATAGGTAGATAAACAACTAGGCGCAATTTTCAATAAAAATCAAATATATCAGGGACATCAATATTTTCTGAGCAAATACACCTTGAGACATCATTTGTCATAAGAACATCATGCGCGGCCTTGATATAATCTAAACCCTCTATTTAATTAATACCGCTGGAAAAACAACTAAGATGAACAAGACGCGATAACAACGTTGCAGATTCCGAAAAGTATGCGCGATCTCTGAGGAATTGCCTGGCAGGTTTCGTACAAGGTTTTGGTTTCCAGTTTTTTTTTTTTTTTTTTTTTTACACAAAGTGGAAATGCTTAACAAAAATCTGATTCGGGTCAATTAATACTTTGTTTCCCTGCCTATTTGTTTTTTCTGCGTATTCTTTTTTTTTTCTCGGGGATAACCTTTAGGTATTGCATGGGGACTCAGTGCATTAGGAAAGAATCTGTTGGTTCATGAAATTAAAGTCTTGCAAAAAGTCGACAAAAACTCAAGGAAATATGTGCAAAAATCACACTATCGTTGTTCAAGAAAAGTTGGAATAAGGTGTCATAAAAACAATTTAGTTTATATGCAAGACCTTCCCACTGATAAATTGGTTTAGAAGATACCACGTAGAAAGTGCACATATAAGAGTACTTACGGTCGTCAGTGTCATACGTTTCCACATAGTCCAATGTCTGAAACTGCTGTAACAGCGCCGTCCTCCCAACCCTCTCAGCACCAAGCATAGCCACCTTGTAAATTCGCTCAACGTCGCTGTTGCTTTCGACGTCACTGACGTAACTCCCCGTGGAGATGAGGCTGTTGGAACGCAAACGGTTACGGTTAAACTCATCCAAGTCCGCCTCAGCCTCCCCGTCGATTTCCCCGCTGCCCGAGCGGTCTGAAGAAACGCTTTGGCTGCTACGAGAGATGATCTTAAACGCGTCGGCTTTCCCTATGACTCGACCCTTCGGAGAGGTGGAGAATTCTCGAACTCGGACAATCGCGGCGTCTTCATCGCTAAGAAAGGGGTTCTCTCCGTTCGGTAGGCCGAGCAGGACGTTGGCCGGGATGCTGCCACTTCTGGGACGCGCTCTCAGAGGACTTCCTCCTCCAAAGTGCAAACTGGGGACCTCCAGGCAGACCGAGTAGCGTTTCTGGTGGGTGTTGAATGTAGGGGGTACGCTCACGGGCGTGGGGGAGAGAGACCCTCTCCTGGGTCGATTTCGGGTGGCGGCGGCCGCGGCGGCAGTGCCGCGACACGAGGAGGTGCTTCCTGAACGAGGTCTCTGTTCCTCTTCATCCTGTGGCAACTGTAGGCGTGCAGCGTCCGCCATCATAGCGTTCAATAAACGTAATAAATTGTACGAGTCCTTTGCTTTGGTTTTTATCAAACAACTCGATCGCAAAAGTCGCTGGGAATCCGACTGTTTTAAAACATGAGAACCAGCAAAGTATATTCAGGTCTGATGGCAACAGCTGGTCTGTCGATAGTTCATGTTAAATCATAAAATACTAACAGAATCTGTCATAAGCTGAAACACGCGATGCAGGTAATCGAGGCAATGTAAGGTGAAAAGCCAACCCGTTTTCGCCGCCCGAATGCAGTGACAATACAATCAAAGCAACGCACGCATCGGCACTGATATTGATATTGATATAGATATTCACTCCCTGAACTTCCACGTGGGCACTGTTGCCTCGAACTTGGTTCTTGAAAATGAATAATCAACAAAGCAGGTAAGCACGTGCACTAGTTGTGTAAGCAAAGAGGAAATTAAATGAATATCGTTTAACAATCGCACTGTATGTCTTTACACCAATATATATTTACTGTCTGAGCCGTTCACGTGCGCAGTGCTCAAAACGTCGTCCACTTGCCATTAACACTGGGCATCGAAATGAACAATCGGCAGCCTGGATAATTAGCAGACGTGAACAATTGAACGGCTATTTACATCAAATAAGCCACCGCTTCTCTAGCTAGTGTTGTCGCGCTTAGCCGCAGTAATCGCGCTGACAGCCTTTACGTCCGCCAAGTGAGATGTGTCCCACTTCTCCCGCTGTGCTCAGTATCGCAATACGAGCGGCTGTTCCACCTACGCTCTTCGCCTAAGTGCACCTGCAATCAACGACACAGCTGAACACTTGCCAGGCGTGTTTGTATAGAAAAACGCTGTTCACACACTTACTGTGAAAGACGTCAGTGCAGCGTACCTGAGAGCGTTCGTTCAATGACTGTATGGTTAGATATATACCGTGTCCTTCCAGGGGCTGTTGTTTCAATCTAATGTCACAAATTCCACTCAATCAACAGCACAAGTAAATTTGCGGTTGGGGCACTCGTAAAGAGAAGCCTGTCAACAACAAGCACACGGGCTGTTACAACGGCGTGGGATTAGGTGTAAAATAACATCCCGCGCGTTAATTGTTTTCCAGCTCTACCCGTCAAGGTGTGCGTCTAGTGTAAGTTCTAGGATAACACCATCTAGATGTGTTAACAGGCAAGAGATGTCCTCGTAGAGTCGGTTCGGTTCTGTCAGAGCCACACTGCGCCACTGGCTAATTGGCTGAAAGGGGTCTGATTGGCATGAATTGCATGGTAAATTAACCCCGTGTACTAGCTTTTTGTCATCGTCCTCACGCAGTGCTATCTTTCCTTAAAACTCTGAGGTGGTTGCCTGTACTGCCTGCCCATGTACACTGCCGTGCCAAAGGCACACAGATCCTTCTACATCGGTAGCTACCGGTGCCCCTATATAACCACGTTAATTGTATGCATTAGCAATAATACGACTGTTGCATCGCATCCCCGCACCATCCACGCTGAATCTGATTCCGCTCTCTGCTGTCAATCTCTCTCACTCTCTCTCTCTCTCTCTCTCTCTGGGTTTCTGAAATGAAAAAGATGGATCACTAGCTATAAGCCAACCAGCTATCAACGTGTGCGAGTCTGATGCATGCGATGGGGAAAGCCGCGGTGCGCTTTTAAGCAAGCTGAGAAGAATTACCGAGTTTCACTGTATAAACTACGGCGGATCCTCACTGAGTTAACAGTATAACAGACCTGTTCTGGGGCCGAAACGGATGTGTGTGATTTTGTTTCCTCATGCAGCAGCAATTGGTGTTGTCTCCCGTTTGAACAAAAAAAAACGAGAATGATATTTTGAAACCACTGCTGTTGATACATAGTGTGTGTGTGTGTGTGTGTGTGAGAGAGAGAGAGAGAGAGAGAGAGAGAGAGAGGGCTACTTTTACTCCAACCTATAAATGACTTGTAGATCAATGCATATTTTTTAATTGGTTTTAATTACACCCATAACAGTAGGTAACAATCAAATACATTGCACGCTGTAAATGTTCTTTGAGATTCTACAAGAGTTACGAGAATAAAAAACCGTCATGTCGATGAATCCCTGTGGGTTCTTTGTACAGAAACAATGACAAAGAAAAAATCTGAAATCTGGAACACACACGTCAATTCCATAGCCACGAGATGTCAAAGCAAAGATGTGTTCACCAATGCAAATATTGAATGGTTTATGAGACGTTCCATTGGGTCGCGTCTAGTATCGTTTAAAGTAAACCTGTTATAGGAATAGTTTGGGAAGGAGGCGCCTTTTTTTGCACCCGCCAAAGGATCCGTGAGTTCATTGGTAAGTGCAGGTGAGTGCCTGTGTCAATTTAAGATGGGTTGACCTATCTTTTTCTACGGGTATTTCAACTTCCGAGATCAGAAAGCCCACCGAATCCATACATTGGCCGGTAATTGTAACTGAGGCAAGTGGTGCGCCGTGGTTAACTTTCTATGCTGTCGAGCCACTCTAGCGTATAGCACTATCGTATGAGAACGTACAAGAGAAATTGGTTACGCTAGGGTTCAATTGGCTTAAGTCGTATACGCTTCGAGTGCGCCAGCGAATGTTGATGTACTTTTTCATATGCAGAGGGCGATGCATTAGGGATACGCTAAGCACACGGCAAACACGCTAGGGTGACACTAAGTGTACGTTACAGTACGCTCCTCATACTGTGGTCAGTAAAGCTAGCGTATTCGTAGCGTATGAGTAACGTGATGCTGACGAACGGGTGATATATGGAACGTATTTTTAATGACTGATTAATATATTTAATTTAACAAAAAAGGTAATCAGAACAATACATACATATGTCACTCTCACGCTCCTCTACGGTATCCGTACGCTATTGATGTTTGTTATACGCTACACTTACGATAGCATACGTTTACATATACTTCTATTATTCATACGCTACTTAAGCGCAAATTAATATACTGTGCAAATACGCTACTCATACGCCATCTATATGCTACGTGTACTTCTATATTCATTTTCATACCTTAGAAAAAGGGGCGATTTCATACCTAGAAAGTTGCTGTCCGCCTACGTCAAGTCTGTATCTGCTGATACGTCACTTCTCTACACATCTGAGGTCCATTCACTCAGGTGGCATGCCGCTGGGCTGGCTACAGGTTGGTCTTAAGATAGATATGTGACTAATGCCAGCTATGTTTTCTGAGTGTGAATGCGCCTGAAAAGAGACCTGCACATTATAGCATATACTGTGCACCACACCTTGAAACAATACAATCTGAACATAACACTAATGTATATGTTACTTTCCGTGCTCTGCGGTTTGCCATTTAGATGGGGAAAATTATTATTTTGATGCTCATTCATATTTCGGTCAGTTTTTCTAAAAGAAAATACTGCAATTAAGCAAAAAAAAAAAAAAAAAAAAAACATTAAATTAATGACAGTAAGGGAAGGTGATGTTGTTGGTGTTTTATTCCGAGTTCCGGGCAATATGAGAACACCATGATTACAAAAACTTATGACGATCGACAAAAATTATTGTGATTTTAAATTGAAACAGCATTTCCATCAAAGAAGCTCATTTCTGTAGAGTGAAAGTGAGATCTGACATGACTAATTAAGACAGTCGCAGGAGGCTGAAAGCAGAACAGAACAGCGTTCTGATTTTTTTTTTATTTAAAACGCAGTAACCTAATACTAAGCTTAATTAAACCGAGATATCAAACGGAGAAACAAATCAATGGGATTAATTACCATTAATGGCCATTAGGCACTGGCAGTTAACAAGATCTCGTAAAAAAAGGATTGAGAGCACTAGACAGAATGGGAATGAGGGTAATCTGGCCAAAAATAAAAAAGAAGAAAATAATGAGACACATATAATTGGAACTGTTTTAAATGACGGGCGTAGTTAGTGTAATGACGGTATACAGATGGCCGTATTAAATGTTGACGTGACCTTCTAAAATTTGTATCCAGACACTTAAGTTTAACAAACAAATAAATAAATAAATTAATAGATAAATAAATAAATATTATTAATATATATATATGATAAATGTTTGAAATTCTGGAAGAACACGTGTCTAGTCTGAGCCACCCGATCGACCATTTTGTACATTGCACTTGACAGTAACACGTGTCCAGCACAAGTACACGTGCATTTTATCAGTGGTTTATACACCACCCCTATTCTCTTATAAATTAAAAGGGGATATCAAACTACCCATCTCACTAAACTTATCTTGATTTGGACTTGGTGAAGTTTGCCAATGTCAATTTTTTTTCAATGTATTATAGCAGTGGTTGGATCCCCGATTTTGTCATATTAATTTCTCAGAAATAATCCGGGATGCTAGTAGGCAGAGGCGACATACCCTTCCTCCTCGTACATTTTGTGTAAATAAGAATATAGACCAGTTGTTAAAAAATAAATAATACGGTCTACACAGATGGGTGAGTATGAAAATCATTAATGAAGTTCAAATGACAAGCACTAACTAACAAATCGTATTTTAAATATGTTTTGCAGAGAGGAAACCACTGGAAACCAACAATCTAACTACCTGTAGGAGAATAATTCAGATTCATCATGGCGGGATGAAGATGAACGATGCTGAAAGGCCATTTTTAAAATCGGGCATAGATATCATTTTTAGAGGACACCAGAAACCCACCTCTCTACTCTACAGTAAAAAAAGCCTTTTCGTTTCAAATCCAACATCTTTCATGCACCTCTCTATTTCAATTTCAAAAAGCAACTGCAAAAATTGGGGGGAAATGAGCGTAGGCTGCGACAAAGAGCGAACATATATGTCTGACTAATAGACTATAATTCAAGACATGTGATACGAGTTACCACTTTCAAAACCACTGTGATGAATTCATTGTTCAAAGAGTCGAACATATATTACACAACAACATAATGTACAATAAACACGCACCCAACCACCGCCGTCTCTCTGACAGCGACAGAGAAAGATTGCTCTAAAGACTCTCCAATGAGCAACTTTACAGCCAAGGCGAATTAGGGCGATTCTTCCCTTGTGGGCTTCGTATAACTTATACGGGTTTACAATTTAGACCGATTTCCTACGTGGATACGACCACATATGTCACCTTAACGGAAAGCACTCCTATTTCATTCTACATTTATGATTCCATAACGTTATGCTTAAATATTGATGATACGTTGAACAGTTCACCTAATACGTGTAGAAAATCGCAGTGTTTTTGACGCGCGTACAGCAACGATCGTCATGGTGAAAACATTAAGATTATGTTAAGTTGCAGGTTGGTGAAGTATTAACTTAATGGTGTAATTAATAAGCAAACCTTTTATCCAGGCCTCCCCCCCTCCTGCATAATACCTCTACTGGGGTCACAGAAAGAATTTTTGCACTGTATGTTCACAGATATATATCTCTGGCTATTTCTCTGCACTTTTCTGTACTGCTCAGCTCTGATAGAGTACCTTCAGCGTGTCTCGTTGACAACGATCGTGACACCTCCCGGGCGGCTGAAAAAGTTGCTGATTCAAAGATCAAAAACTTAATCAGTTTTTTAAGATATTGCAATGAAACTTGGGATTTTAGGAAAATGATGCTGAAATAAAGGCTGAAAATTTCGTTACTCTACTTTCTTAGTTTTAGCAAATAGAAATCAAATTAAAATTTGAAGTCAAAAAATGCCATGCAGGTGTGGAAGTCCGGAGCCCTATGTGATTAGTACAAGTTATCGTTGTGGAGTATTGAGGTTAAGATTATGGGACGAATGCCAAATTTTAAAGTAATGGGGATAGGACAACGGTTCCTAACGGACTGCCATTCCTGTCACACCGGTCTTTGTGACGTCTGACAAGTGCCAGTGTCTGGCAGTTTTGATATCAAAACGTTTTTTTTTTATTTGACGAAAATATCAAATAACATTTCGCGGTAACACTTGAGATTTTCATGATTGACAAATAACACTTGATAATACTTAATTTCAATTCAAAAAGCTTGACAGCTATTGAAGATTTTGAATTTTGAAGTTAGTAACGTTTTCGAGCCACCCGATATGGCCTTGTCACTAAGTACTATCGTGTATGTCATCGATGCCTCATTGTGAGATGACACATGGGTGTATAATAAGTAACAACGTGGTATGAATAAAAGATTACCTGAACAGTCTTTACGCCAATGACGGGGAACTTTTATGTTGATAAGTCATGATTTACCTGTAAGGGCCTTACAGAAAACGTATCTAACGGCAACTACATGCACACGTAGTTATTTCAACGAACGGTGACTTGTCGAATTCTGCATAGAAGTAAGATGCAATTATTCATCTGTTTTAGGAACACACAGCCAATCATCTGACCCTGAAACAACTTGCAATTTAATTACAATGTTAGTGTCACAGATTCATCATTCACTGAAAGAATAAGTCTAAAACACTAAATGAAGTTATTCATTCGTAATCACGTGAACTATGACGTTTGTGTCCTTGACGTTTGTGGCCTCTAGATTCCGATCAGTTCATCGATTCACGACTCAGACATTCAGACATTCT